CACGTTGAGCGGGAGGGTTGTAACGGTGTCGTTCAGCTCAATCATATGCTTCTTGAGCTGCCAGAAGGTGTTGGTGAACACGATGGGATAGTACCAGGTGTTCTGACCACTTGCATCTCGTGCACCGGTAGCCTCGAGTGTGATGAACCGCCTGGGACCGGGATGCATGGCGGCATACTGCAAAGTGCCCGCGTCGGGAATCAGGGAGACGGTGAAGTTGGGATGGTAGTAGGAGGATACAATCTTTGGCGCGTTCTTCTCCTCTTCGCTTTCTACCTCGGCTCTTTCTGGCATATCGCTCAGCAAGTTCCTCGTCTTCGCGATCTTCTTTTTGGGCTGGTATTGGGACAATGGACGGATGAAGTGGTAGGCCTTGCTGTGGTCGTAGCCAGGCTGCGTGGGGTCGAGCACGCTGCCACTCTGCGCAACGTAGAAGTGAGCAAGCAGAGTAGCATTATGCTGCACTTCCCTTGGAACCTTGAACTCGGTATGGATTTCTCTGTTCTCCTTGTAGTCTCCAAACTTGAAGTTTTTCTCCTCGATCAACAGCGAGTCCTTAGGCATCGATTTGAGCGGGGGCATGGCGACGGACGAGGAGATGTACATGGCGATGTCCATCTCAGTGCCGGAAGGCCACATGGGCGCGACAGCATATGGGATATGGCTGTATTGAGCACCAGGATCGAGGGACTGTGGACGCTGTTCCCATGCGGGAATCACGACATTGCCAGCTGGTTTGACGGCGGCGACGGAGCCAGTTTGCGCGGGATCGTTGACGGTGGGGGCGGGTTTGGCAGTCTGGGGCATGAAGTACTTCATGCCACCCTGGATAAGCAGGAACAGACCCACGCTTTGTACAATGGACTTGACGAGCTATCATGATGCCGTTAGCTATCATCTCGGAGCAGAGGGGTCTTGTTTGCGACTGACACTCTTGCCCTCCTCGGGCGGCGCGGCGGCTGCTTGTGCCTCTGGCATGATGGCAACGTGCGGAATCTAAATTCCGACTTGAGCAGCTTGTTATGTGGAGAAGGGAGATGAACTCGCGATGAACTCTGAACACATAATCTGGAGACTTTCCGAGGAATTGGCGGTTCCGCCGAGGGCCCGTGCCTGTCCCGCGTCAGGGTCTAGCCACATGGGCCTCGAGGTCCCGGCCCAGGTGGCGGTGACCTCATGCACCTCACCGAAATGCATACCCTTTGGAGCTTACCCTTCACCAAGGGATGGCAGCTATGGGTTGATGAAAATGCTGCGCAAAAGGTGCTGCCTAATATCACCTTGACGACCTTATAATGGGGCTATCGCTGCCTTAACCCCCCCTCCGTTGGAGATGCTCCCTCAAGCTTCTGTCGCCGCCCCTCCTCAACACGTCAATTGCTTTTGACAGCCCGCGTTCCGACTCCAGTTCCCCTCGTTCCGAGTTTCTCTATCAACCATCCGACCAACAATGGCGGACAACAACGCAACAGCTAGCAATGGCTCTGCCAAGCAGCCCGTCGTTGCCGTATTGTATGTAGAGAGGACGCCAGCCGATTGATGGATCCAATGGCTGACTGCGATACAGCTGCGGCGCTTCCAATGGCACATCGCCAGTCCACATGGAGGCAGCGAGGCAACTTGCGCATGCTCTTCACAAGGCCAACACCAAGGTCGTATACGGCGGCGGCACTGTCGGCCTCATGGGCGAGGTAGCACGAACCCTCGTCTCGCTGTCCGGCCCCGACTCGGTCCACGGCATCATCCCCGGCGCTCTCACTCAACTCGAGCAGCACAACGACCTTGCCAACCCGAACGGCCACTCTATCGATGCAGAGAAATATGGACGCACTACTGTTGTCAAGGACATGCACACGCGAAAGCAGATGATGGCTCAGGAAGTCGTCAAGGGCGGACCGGGCGGCGGCTTCGTTGCTCTGCCTGGCGGCTACGGAACTTTTGAGGAGCTGATGGAGATCACCACCTGGAACCAGCTGGGCATTCACGACATGCCTGTCATCGTATACAACGTGGACGGCTATTGGAGTGGTCTCATCGAGTGGGTCAAGAACGCTGTGACCAGCGGTTTCGTTGCGCCCACCAACGCTGGTATTATCTCTGAGGCTCTTAGCGCCGACGAAGTGGTGACACATCTGAATGAGTATCAGAGTGCGCCTGGACGCTTCAACTTGACCTGGGAGGAGCAGTAGAGGGTATGTGATGCAAGGTTACGGAAAGGCTCGAAAACTCCACTCTCCGAAAACGAAAGATGGTCCAAGGCACATCGGTGCTAGGTGATCAGAGAGACATTTACAGACGGTGTCTGTATCAGTAAATAGACCAATGTAGATTAGACTAGACTACATATCAAGAAGTCAAACATTCGTCTCCATCCTGAGTATGTGAGCGTATCCGAACACTCTGACCGCATATTGTGATCTCACCCGACAATCCCTATAAGCTGACGACATGTTCTGCAAAACTTTGCCGTGCCTGAGCAACTTATCTTCGGCAATAAACGTCGCGGACCGAGGCTGGTTAGATTACATGCTTTAAAGAGCATGGTACCGGTGCTGAACGGAATGCCTAAGCCCGTTGGGGCAGGAGCGAAACCATGTCAGACGCGCGAGCCCTTCTCATTCGACAACCCCGCCGAGATTCAAGATAGTGACCTCAACGCGCGTATAACGACAAGCTTTGACAAGCCTTTTCCAAGACTGCTTAAATACGCTAGGGTAAGTCGCTCTCACACTCTTCTTACTGCTCTTGCGCCATTTGTCTGCAGCTGTCAGCATGTTCACCAAGTCGGCAGTCACGCCTTTGTTGGCGCTTTCAAGCCTCGCCCTACAGGCTGCTGCTGTCTCTCAGAAGCAGTGGACCAAGAGGAGCGACCACTTGTACTTGCCGAAAGAGACTAGCAATTACAAGACCGCGACTGCTCCGAACAATGTCACTATTCGGTACAAGAACCCTGGTATCTGCGAGACTACTCCCGGCGTGGACAGCTACTCTGGATATGTCGACTTGACGCCTGATGTGCGTATCAATCTCACCCATGCATGCAAGCGCTCATTCTAATGCCATACAGGTCCATGTGTTCTTCTGGTTCTTCGAGTCCCGTAATGACCCAGCCTCAGACCCGTTCACCTTGTGGTTGAACGGAGGTCCTGGATCTGACTCGCTGATCGGTTTATTCGAGGAGAATGGACCTTGCATGATCGATGAGAATCTCACCACAGTGTACAACCCATACAGCTGGAACAATGTCTCGAACATGCTGTACATCTCGCAGCCTGTCGGAACTGGTTTCAGCTACCAGAAGCAGGGTGTCGGTAGTTTCAACTCGTTCTCTGAAGACTTCCATTACAACTCTAGCGAATGGCCCGCTACCGGTCGATGGCCTCTGCTGGAGCCGCTGAACACTGGTACTATCGATACCACGGATCTTGCTGCCGTTGCTGTGTGGGTGAGTAGTAATCTAATGTGGAGTGCTTGTGTCAGCGCTAATTTCATTCGATACATGTAGCATGTTTTCCAAGCCCTCCTGGCTACCATCCCCAAGTTTGATGCCAAGCTCGGAGACTTGGATGCAGCGAGAGACTTCAACCTCTTCACCGAGTCATACGGCGGTCACTATGGCCCAGCATTCTTCAGCTACTTCTACAACCAGAACCTGAAGATTGAGAACGGAAGCATGCCCGGATACCCACTCAACTTCAACTCGCTCGGCATAATCAACGGAATCATCGACGAGGCCGTTCAAGCCGAGCATTACCCAGAGTTTGCTGTCAACAACACTTACGGCATCAAGGCGTATAACGACACCGTCTATTCGTACGCCAAGTTTGCGAACAACATGTACAACGGATGTCTCTATCAGATCGCCCTCTGCCGAGCCGCCGCCGAAGGCAACACCACCTACTACCACGCCGATGCTAAGATCACCGAAGCCGAGCTAACACCAGGCGAGATGCAGATCTGCAACGAAGCAGCAGACATGTGCCGTGACAACGTCGAATCTCCGTACTACTATTACTCAGGCCGCGGCGTCTACGATATCCGTCACACATACGAGGACCCGACACCTCCCTCCTACTTCGGCGATTACCTGAACCTTGCAGAAATCCAGGATGCTCTTGGTGTTACGCTCAACTACTCTGGTAGCAATGGCATCTATTATGCTTTCCAGAATACGGGAGACTTCATCTACCCCAACTTCAGGCTCGATTTGGAGTATTTGCTCAGCCAGGATGTGCGTGTTAGCTTGGCGTACGGCGATGCTGACTACATCTGTGAGTCCTTTGATACCTACCAGTCATTCGATGGTTCTAACACGTTCAGGCAACTGGTTTGGTGGTGAAGCTATCAGTCTGGCGATGGAGTACACTCACAGCGACGAGTTCCGTGCCGCAGGTTACGCGCCTATGATGGTGGATGGCACGGAATACGGCGAGGTACGCCAGTATGGCAACTTCAGCTTTGCGCGCGTCTACGAGGCCGGTCATGAGATTCCTTACTACCAGCGTAAGTCTTCTGGCTACACCCATTCCAGCCAGTCTGGGCAGATGACGGGCTTTGCTAACTCGGCTTGTAGCTGTTGCCGCGTTAGCGTACTTCAACCGTACTCTGTACCACTACGATATCGCGACTGGCGAGGAGAAGGTCACTGCCAATTTGACAACCTCTGGTTCTGCGAATGCAACTCACACGCAATCGTTCGTGCCGATTACGTCGTCATACATTCAGGCTTTCCCTTCGCCTATCTATCCTGCGACGACATCGGGGTACTAAGTCGTGCTGTTGTTACCGAGGTCAATGTAGTCTGTGCGTTAGGTTTCATCAAAGTGGTGTGCATGACTATCACGAATGAAAAGAAACTATAAATCAACTCTCTGTAGTATGCACGAAGACTAGTGATGCGTCCATGGCTTATTCCTAGTATCAAAGATTTCATCATTTCTTGCACTTCCCTAGCTTAGCCCCTTGTCGAGGAGGAGACTTCATATGTATTGCTCATGTCATCAACGCTGCCTACAGATCTCAGCCTTGAACTCCTCATCATCTTTCCGCCACCCGATCCCAGCATCCTCACTACCAGGTCCCTTCCAGAAGACACTACCCTCGGCGTCATCGCGGATGGCCTCGATGATCCTTTCCTGGTGGTCGTCCTGCATCGTCGCCAATAGCGCCAGCTGCACCAACGACAAGTGCCTTCGTACATCGTAATCCGGGTCGTTCTCGTCGGGCTTGAAAGCATTGAGGTCGATACCGAAGTCCCCTCGGAGAATGCTTTGGTAGGTGCGTTCGATCATGGCGTCTGTCACGGGTGCGTTTTTGGGGGTGTAGGTACCTAAAGCCTCCTTGGGAAACTTGTCGGTCTGACCTGGTGGGGTGATTTTTGCAATGTCGATGGTGGAGTTACGTGTGGTGTCGATGGGGGGAGGTCGCTTCATCTCCTTGGTGGCCTGGGCGATTGAGAGTGGAGATTTGTCGAGGTCAGGAATGGTTCTTATCACATCAAACGTGACCGATGGGATAGCTGATGAGGATTGGTCAGGAGCGGTTGGGGTTTCCTTCACATCAGACATGGTCGATGCGATAGCTGGTGAGGATTGGTCAACAGGTGTGGGATTTTCTTGCATTTCAGACATGGTCGTGGGATGGATAGTGAGTTGTAGATTCTGACTGTAGTGAGCCATCAATGTGAGTTCATGTGCCTGCTGATATGTAGTAAAGAAGTTTGCTGGAAACACAGGACACGATACACGTTTGTGCAAACGACGCGTGTGACAATTTGTGGAGGCCTCGCAATATACAGGCATCAATGCCGACTGTGGTTAGAGGCTTTTCGTAGCAAAACAAGTCACTGGGAATCGGAGCGGATAGACAAACAGAACTTCGATATCAAGGTCGTCAAACAGCGTTTGCACCAGGATATGCCTGTACAGGCCTACATACGCCAGATGTGAACGCCAAACTCCATGCTAAATGTTGCAGATGCTTCGAAGGAATGTTTTCATTTCGATGTAGGGAGTGCGAACAGCTGGGGCTGCATATTGATCTTGCACAAGCGCGCAATACAGCCAGACAATTGCAGAAGGGTCTGTACGCCTTCAAGGATGCGCATATGGGTAAAGCCAATTTCCTGATTGCTGTTAGTCTATGTAAAAATCGCCCGTTGCGAACCCTCACCTTGATGAACTCCAGCTTTGCGTGCTCACTCAGCGTGTCAATCGTCTTTGTAACTTTGAACATTGTGCTGATGATGTCATGACACGAGTATCCCAGATCCCACAGCTCCTTCAGTGATGTCAGAGCATCGTCGATACGCTGCTCATGGCACGCCTTGATCATGGCTTGCACCTTGATGGGATGCGGGCTGTCGACCACCCTGAAGACATTGTCGCCATTGACGAAGCCGAAACCAGCAAATGTCGACTGCAGGTTGTTGATGGCTTGTCGCATATCTCCCTCTGCTGAGAACACTAGTGCCGCAATTCCGTCGTCTGAGTATTTCACGTCTTCGGCTTCGCAAATCTGCATGACGCGACGCACGACTTGCGCATCGGTAAGGCGGGCGTATCGGAGGATGGCGCATCTCGATTGTAGCGGCTCGATGATCTTGTTCGACTGGTTGCAAGCGAATGCAAATCGGGTTGTTGCACTGTATATCTCCATTGTCCTCCTCAGAGCTTGTTGTGCACCGCTGGTCATACTGTCCGCTTCGTCGAGGATGACCAGCTTCTGCCTGCCCGGGGGCAATGTGACTTTCTTCTGCGCAAAGCCCTTTATCCTGTTGCGGACGACGTCTATACCACGTTCGTCCGAGGCATTGAGTTCGAGGACAGCCTCTTTGTAGGCATCACCGAGGAGTTGGCGTGCGAGACAGAGGATGGACGTGGTTTTGCCGATACCAGGCATACCGGAGATGATCATATGGGGCATGTTGCCATCTTTTGCGATGATCTTGAGGCGCTCAATGGTTTCGGTATTGCCGACGACATCATCGAGGTAGACAGGACGGTATTTCTCTACCCTGGGACGATGTTAGTCGGAGTAAGCTGGCGAAGGCCACGAGCGGTGAATTACCATGGCAGCTCGTAGTTTGCACCGCCAGCCGCATTGGGGTTGGGTTTGACGCCATTGCTGGCGGCGGCTTTGGAGGACTCGGCTTTTGACATTTTGGGCTGTGGTGGTTGACTTGGAGGGGTGACGCGAAACACGCGATGCTCTGCAAACGCGCTTTCACGGGTCATCCGTCTTGGGACTAGTGCTCACGTGAGCCGGGCACGATCGACGCGCAGCCGCGGCAGCGAAATATCATGCCCTTGGCGCTAAAGATAGATTCGTCCGACGCGACGTCACTTGCGTAGCACGATAGATCGGATCGGGATTTTCTCTCCAGTTCACGCACTGGCGCCGGTACGGATCGAGGCTATGTTCTTGCACATATTGTCCTGCACGCCTGTACAACGCATAGTACGAAATCATCTTCGCGAGGGATCTTCAGTTGGCATGCCAGATGGGCTTTCAGGTACCGACCGATGCTGCAGGTCCTGAGGTTTCAGCCCCAAACGTCTTTTTTGAGAGGCGCAGCCATCGAGCATCGGGCGCCTGAAGAAACCACCCGATCGCTCCTCAGTCGCTAACATACGGGCTATTTGCATTGCTTTAGTAGCTTGCGACATGGCGACGGCGTCAAGACACTGGGATCCTGGTGGTTGACAGGGTGACGTATGCGGCTGACGGAAGCGGTCCGCAACCTACCAAGTCCACGCACGTCAGCGAGCTGTTGTATAGAAGCAGTCCCAGACGTTTGCTGATGAAGTTGTGAATGCTGAATGTCGTTGGTAATGTTGGCCTCGTCAGCGCAGCCTTGGAGCGCGAACAAGGCGCAGGCGGCGCACGGCGGCAAGGGATGCCAGCATCGGCACCAAGCGCTTGGCTTTGCGATACAAACGAATCGTCTCGTAATGGAGGCAACGCCACGCCCTGCGGATCCCCCAGCAAGGCACACACAAGCCCCGTTGGCTGGCGATTTTAGGCCCGGAAATGGCGGCGGCTGCCCATGCTTGTTACGTGGGCAGGTGCACTAAAGGGCCACAGAATCCGTTACAGGTCCAGACTTGACCTCATCATACGCGTCGTCATCACAAGGCTCGAACGCCCCCTGCGCCGACTAAAGCCTCGCGCCTGCGCCTCTACTTCGCATCGACTGTATTCCTAGTCACAGCTCGTTTGTTTCTGCTTTGTCGCTATTATTCCCTTGTCATCCTCTACTCGCACTGTGCTTGGACAGCGCTCCGCTTTTTGCGACTTCAATTGCAATCTCAAACACAAGGCTATTGCCGCCCTCACCCAACTCCGACCACTCGTGCGTCAGGTTTTACCAAGCCACACCAGGGATCCTTTCACTTCCGTGGTATACATCGATCGCACATCCCTAGGATCCTCTTCTCAGAAACCACATCATGAAGTATTCGACGTTCTTGGCGGCGCAATTGGCGTCGTCGGCTGTAGCAGTGAGGCTTGCACCGCGAGAGGTAAGTGCGACTCTTGGCACCCCAGATTCACTGCGAAGCGAATCCTCCCGCAGCGCCTCGTGCGCTTCACCAGAGCTTTGTGAACAGCGATGCTGACTTCTTCAGAACCCAAGAGTAGTGCGTCTAGATACCCAGCGCCGGAATGTCAACCCTGTCGCACATGACCAGCTACGAAGACGGCAAAATGTTGTCCAGCAGACGCTTGACAACCTCGAGACACTCTATTTCGCCAACGCCAGCTTAGGCACCCCCGAACAGAACTTCCGCCTCCACATCGACACCGGCAGCAGCGATCTCTGGGTCAACTCAGTGAACTCGAATCTGTGTAGCCAAGGGGGCAACCAGTGCGGCGAATCGGGCACATATAACGCGAACGACTCTTCGACATACAACTACGTGAATGGCGCGTTCAACATTTCATACGTTGACGGGTCAGGCGCATCAGGAGACTACGCGACAGACAACTTCCGCCTCGGCGGCCAGACAGTAGAAGACCTGCAGTTCGGTATCGGCTACGTATCGAGCTCACCGGAGGGTATCCTCGGAATTGGCTACACCATCAACGAAGTTGCCGTAGGACGCGCAGGATTAGAACCATACCCCAACTTGCCTCAAAAGCTAAAGGACGACGGTACTATCAACTCAAACGCATACTCGCTATGGCTGAACGACCTGGATGCGTCGACCGGAAGCATTCTCTTTGGAGGCGTAGACACCGACAAGTACTCGGGTGAACTACAGACACTACCAATTATCCCAGAGCGTGGACAATATGCCGAATTCATCATCGCTCTAACTGGTATGGGGCAGAACGGCGAGAACGGTTCTATCTTCAACGATTCCAACGTACCGGTCCTGCTTGACTCAGGGTCCTCCTTGATGTATCTTCCCGATAATGTCGCGAGCGCTCTGTACCAGACCTTCGGCGCCCAGTACCGTCCTTCGCAGGGCGCAGCCACTGTCGATTGCGACCTTGCGAATCAGGAAGGCTCGCTTGAATTCAACTTCTCCGGTGTCACGATCTCTGTCCCACTCAACGAGCTTGTCATAGTTGCTGCCGTTAGTCGTGGACAGCCCGTCTGCATACTTGGCATTGGGCCCGCGGGCTCCTCTGTCGCCGTTCTCGGCGATACTTTCCTACGATCCGCATACGTTGTCTACGACCTTGAGAACAACGAAATTTCCCTTGCCCAGACAAACTTCAACGCCACCTCAGAAAACGTTCAGGAGATTCAAGAAGGCTCTGACGGCGTACCCAACGCTACAGGTGTTCCCAACGCAGTGTCTACTGCAGCCGTTGGTACCGGCGGACCCAGAATCGATGGGCCCAACATAACTGGTGGCGGTGGAATCTTAACCTCTACCGGCGCTGCCATGCCGGCCGCAACCGCAAACCCATGGGTTGGCGGTGCTGCGGTCGCGGGTGCGGGCATCCTCATGGGCTTCAACGGCTTCTGATGTGCGGACTACAATTTTCCTAATACCTGTCCAGCGTAATGACTTTTTGTTACAATGCATACGTGCATCGTTGGCGTTATCAAGACTGGCATGGATTACAACCTCTCGGTTAAGGGTTTTGCATATTCACCAACCTACCTGGAAGTAGGTCTGTTGCTTACATAGAAGCATAGCATTATCATGAATTTTTAACGTCTATTGCATCTCTCACGAAATAGCCTCTGGTTAGTGATGGTGAAAACCAATGTCGCGTTTGACTAGATGGTGACGACACCCGGGGCCTGACAGGACGCGTAGCGCCTGCCGCGTAATAGCTTCAACGCCTGGAATCACTAAATCGCAAGTCGCGCATCATCACATGCATGAGGAATTTTGAATTATCATGCCGCCATTCGGTATTTCCGCCAATAGCTGAAAAAGTCTACGTACAACCGCCTTCATGCTGTAAGCTCCATACGCGTTCCCTTTCGGCTTCAACTTCTGCCGAGACTACATCCCAAAGAGGTCGTCACTTTGACACTCTTCCTCCAGTCATTCCTTCGCATCATCTCACTGCTCAGGTTAGAAATCTTGCCACTCTTTCATGTCAAGGTGGTTAGTCGACTACGTACCTGATCTCTCAGACGAGTCTTCCGCTTCCGAAATATGATCTAGTGGATGTGGATGATGTACCGGCACATTTGTAGTTAGAGGGTCGAAAGGCAACAGATCTGATGCGTCCCCAGTATCCGCGCGTCTCTGAAGCTCGATGCCATCTCTCGGGAGCGACTGGTTCGTTGCGGGGGGCCCAGCGTTGGAGGTCGGTTGTGATGAAGCCACCGCTGGAGGCGGCTGTGTCGAGGGTTTAACGGGTTGTGCATTGGGCGCATTCGCAACGTTGCTGTTTTGCTGTCCTTGTGACCTTCGTTGGGCCCACTGCTGTTGGACGCAAGTGTAAAGCCGTACTACTGCGTTGCATAGGGTGTTCCATAACCCGGGGAAGAATTTCGGCCTGTAGTGGTGTAATGCCGCGATGGCAGCAATGAGGACGAGGAGAACTGAGGGGATGAAAATCTTGTAGAACATCTTGTTGGGCATAGTTACTGAACGGCTAGGTTGGTGTAGGATCTTTCTTGTCATGGCGGGTCTGTAAGGGAGTAGTTATAACAGACTGATTGATTGCTTGATGGAAACTATTCAATATTTGCTTCAACGAAAGGGTGTTCTGGAGACTACGAGGATGGACAAGAAGTGCGTAAGATGAAAGAATGAGATGACCAGCGACAATAGGAAGAACGATAGATGGGTAAGGAGAAGATTCCATAGATCTGATTGTCATCCACACCCATCATCAGACTGCATCATTCGCGTTCTTACCATTGTACTTCTGCTGGCCGGCGTGTATGAGCTGTACCGCACCCTCGTTACTTTTCGCGCTGCCACCTTTGTCCTTCTTGAGATACCTGCCAATGTATCCCCTCTCGCCCCAAAGATGAAAAGGGTCTACCAAGCCCTTCACTACTCCTCGCTTGTTCTTCTTCTTTTCTGCCCGAGCCGCCTCTAACTCCGCATCGCTCATATCCCAGAACTGTGTCTTCTTATCACTCCCCTTGAACAGACCCCAGATATCAAAAGGGTCGAAGATGGTAATGATCCACGGTCTGTCATCACCCCAGCCTGGTCCTTTCCGTTCAGTCACGCCATCGCGAGCCAAGAACACCGAGTTGGAAGGAGGTAGTCGTTTACCCGGATGCCACAGATTGAGTAAAACGGTGTTGAGAAACATAATGACAGCTTCGAAGATCCAGAAGTATATTTCGTTCTGATATATGGAGGACTCCCAACCGAGGATGTATTCCACGAGGCGATATATGCAGCGTATGGTAACGATAGTCGCACTCACGTACATGACGTATAGTACGACGCGTAGATCCTGCTTTAGTACCCCAGCTTTGTTGGCGCGCCGATGGAATTGTGCAGCGAGAAGACCAAAGGCGCCGAAGAGTGCTGCCTGGAGACAAAGCGATGCGGTGACGAGATCTGAGCCGAGTTGACGTTCTGCATCGGTAGAGCTGGAGTTGGCCATGCGCCATGCACCCTGTCCGATCAGGATCTCGCATACGCCATCGAGGCCGATGAAGGTTGTTGCTACCCGCCCTGGGTGAAGAGGGGCCAGGTAGGGTATGTAGTAGAGCAGTCGT